ACATTCCTGGTATTATTGTCTGGCTGGGTAATGGAGGCATGGCCTTGGGGTCTATGTCAGTCCCTGGGTCCTTTTTGTCTGGCACTGCTCCCCTGCTGTGCTTCCTAGCAACCAAGGTACTTTGTTCCCACATCCTTCCGCCATTATGTTTGTGCCTTGGAACAACCACCCATGGACTGAATCCCCTAAAACCATGAGTCAGGTTATTCCTCTCCACATTTAAACTGTGGGTGTCTAGTGTTCTGTCCTAGTAACAGGAAAGCTGACTAATATAGTAATTCTATAGAAAGAGACACAGAAAGCTGACCTCTGTCCACTGTGTGAGCCACACACAGTGTGGCTGTGGTGAGCCAGGAATCGGGTCCTCACCAGAACTCTGAGCTGGTAGCCTGATCTTGGACTTCCAGGCTCATGAACAGAGACAGAAATGTCTGTTGCTTAAGCCATGCAGCCTGCAGAATCTGCTTCAGCAGCCTGAAGTGGAATAGGGCTTTAGGTCTCAATCTTCCCCTTTCAGATGAGGGGAGAGGCCGCAAGGAAGGCTCAGGCCCTGGTTGGTGAAGCTGACAGCAAGCCTGACTGTGGCAGTCCTCGTGCCATCTGAGCCTTGGCCCTGAAGGCTGAAGTTAACACACACCACACCGTCCTCAGCTGCCCAGCCCTGTGGGGCTGCTGGATTCCCCATGCTGTGGCTTCCTGTTGCCTCCCCAGCTGTGAGGATGGACAAGGCCAGACATATGGCCTGGTTTGCCCCCGTTATAGTCACTGTTGTTTGCCCTGTGCTCTTTCTACTGCATAAAAGCCTCCTTTGTTTCAAGGGGAAAGTGTGCCTGCTCTCAGACTCCAAAGAGCTGGACCGCCACCTTAGTCTCCAGAGACACAGCAGTGCATGTGACAAGAATCCTGCTCACAAGAAGCTCAGTTCCGCACCCCTCAGGGTCCCGCTGCCTGAATTCACCTCTCCTTGCATACTGCCACAGCTTCATTACAGCACCACATCTGCCACCATCAGCCACACTGACAGTCCCTGCCGTGCCCCTTGAGCCCAGCACTTCCCTTGGTGCCTGGTCCATATAAAAGATGCTTGATAAATGCTGCTAAGTCAAATCAACTCTGTCCTAAGGAAGCTGTTCCCTGAGTTTGTGCTGGTGCTGTCGGTTTAAAAGAGAGGACATGCCCCTCTCTGGAAAGAGGAACCAAGCCTAGAGCCTGCAAATGTCTCACCAATTTCCAGGAAGCTGCAAACTACTGGCCGTGGGCTGGTGGCACCCACACCCTGGCCCCTGTGCAGCCTCAGACACAACCAGCTATTCAGGGACAGATGAGTCATCAAAGGAGGCGCTCGTTGCTTCCTCTGTCAGAGGCAATCTGACCAGGGACTGGCACAGGCTGCCAGGGCCAGGACCTGTGACTGTCCCAGGGCAGCTTCTGGCTGGGTATTCTGGCTCTGAGAGCCCACTTGCCTCAAGAGCTCTTCTGGGATATCAGGAAAAACTCCCAAAGTGTGTGCTGTAGAGACTTGAGGTGTCCTCTAGTCTGCTTTGCAGGTGGCCACCTTGAGGCTGGCAGGACCTGCAGGAGTGGTGTGTCCTCAGGTTACACAAGAGCAAGGGTCGCAGGCCCCAAACCTGAGCAGGGCCAGTGATTGGACCACCTCTGGACCTCTTGCCTGCCAGGGCAGCTTTCTCTTCTCTGTGTAGCTTTCTGTCCCTTGACATGATATGACACTGGGGAAACACCACCGATCTAAAACTCAGATTCTGAAAACTCTTCTTCCTCTGTGAAGGTCAGGAGTAGGTTCTTTTATAAGGCAGTTTCTTTAGAAATGGCTCACCAGTCAAAAGTATCCAAGGTTCTTCTCGCCTTGAACAAAGAATTGCACAAGCCAAACCAACAACAGTACCAAAAAGTTTATTTGAAAAGTGTGGGGTAAACAGGTATGGGAGAAACAAGCTCTGCAGAGCAAATTTGGGTCAAACAAAGAGAAAAAGAGGGTAAAAGCAAAAGTAAAAGTACACATTGCATTCAGATTTGGTGGGGGCTATGCAAACTCAAACATAATAGAAACTTTCTGTAATGAGCTCTTTTTATGCTGGCCACATCTGGTGAAAGCTCATGAGAAGTTCTACATATGGGGGTCCTCGAGTTGCCCTGGGATCTTGTGACTGACAGGCCCTCTCATTAACCCAAGCACTTTTGTCACCCCCTATCTCCTAGATCGGTTCTCCCCTCCTCCAGACAATGAGAAGACATTCGGCCAGCCAGGTAGGCTCCATGGGAGAGCCCTGCTCCAGCCAACAGGGACAGTTCTCCTTTGTCCTGTGAGAACACTGTCCCCCAGAAGACCAGCAGCCAGTCCAAGGGCTTTGGCAGCTGAATAACTGACCAGCTTTCAGAGAAAGCTTGATGCTTTCACAGAGGATTCCCCTGTGAATAAAGCATGGGGTGTATTTCCTTGGAGGGTTCAGCTGGAAGAGGGATGGGGTCAACCCCAGGAGAAGAGGCCACAGCAGCTTCTCAGGCAAACATAGTGGCAAGGTATGGGCTCAAGGCTAAGCTGAGGGAAGAGAGGGACCTGGGGACAGTGGACACCAGCAGAGTGGACCAGGAAGCCACTGTCTGGGAGCTGTAGGGCCACACCTAGGAAGTGGCACAGAAGGCAGGAGCTGGAAGAACTTCACTCATTCATCTCTTGATCTTCACCTTTCTTGGGGAGAACTACTCTTGTTATTCCCCTTTATACTTGGGAAGTTGGGGCTCAGAGGGGCTCCTGAACTTTGTCCGTATGGCAGGTGAAGAGCAGACACAGGGGTCCTCCTTGGGTCTTGGCTCTTGATGGTCCAAGTTCTCCTCCATATGCTCTACTTTGACATGGTCACAGCAAAAGCAAACAAGTAAGTCCAGAGCAGGCAACACTTCCAGACTCAGAGTAACTGAGGACCCTCTCTATAACAAAATAATCATTTACTTGGGGAATTATTGTTATGGTTTAGATCTGGATGGCCCCAAAGCCTCACACACTCAGAGACTGGGATTATGGAAGTTGATTGGGGCTGGCTTGGTCTAGGAAGTGGGCTCCTGGGTGTGCTGCTTGGAAGGATTTATTGTCCTTCTTGGCTTCTCCCTTCTTTCTCTGCTTCCTGACTGCTATGGGGCGAGCAGCTGTCCTCCGCCAGGTCCTGCTACCACGCTGTCCTGTCTTGGAGCAGACCTTGCAAAGATTGAAACTTCTAAAATATGAGCCACAATAAACTTCTCCTTTAAGTTCTGGATGTCAGGTATTTTGTCCCAGTGCCAAGGAAAATGATCAAAACAATTGTAAATGTCCGTCATTTAAATCTCTGAAGCTTGTCCTAAGGGCACATAGCAAACTGAAGAGCTCTCACCAAAGAGCATCTACTACATCTCAGCCACCATAACAGTGATGGTTCTCAAGTGTGCCCATGGCCTGCCCTGCCAGTTCCCTACTGGGTGCAGCAAGCACCTCCCCACAACCTCCTGGCTTAGCTTGCAACTTCTCATCATTTTTCCTCTGTGCTTATTGCTCCAGGATCAGGGAGTTGTGAGCACCTATCCATCATCCTCCCCGTGATCTCCATACTTGCACTCCTCCACACCCTGTCCTGGACAAAGTTGTGTCCCAGGCTGAGTAGTCCTCCTCATCCTTCTGGCTTCCCACTCCTGGGCAGGGGTTACAACACCTGCCTCCCTGGAAGACACCTATGCCCTCTGAGAACGTTCATTGTTATGGTTAACATCTAGCTGTCCCAAAGCCTCCTGTATCCATAGGTGGGATCTTTGGAGGGTGACTGGATCATGGGGGCACAGCAGCTGACTTGCTGTCAGGAGATGGGGGTCTGGTTGGGAGAAGCAGGTCACTGGGGCCATAACCTGAGAGAGCTCATCTCCCTACCTGCATCCTGCCCTGGAGCCAGCCATCACGGACTGAAAATGTGAGCCAAAATAAACCTCTCCTCCCTTAAGTCATGGGTGTCGGGCCTTGAGTCCCATTGGTGAGAAAGTGATTAAAGGAAGTCCCATCTGCACCTGGAGCCACACACACAGAGTCAGAGTCAGGGTTCTTGGGCCCAGGGGGTCTTAGGCATAGCCTCTGACCAAACGCTGGACCAGGGCAACTCCTAGAAATTTAAAAATAAAATCCCACACATTCCTGGGACTCAGACAAACAGCATTATATGTTCATAATTATGCCTGTCAGTTGCAGTCAGAGAAAGGACATCCAAACTTTGAGTCCCTGGCTGATGTAGGGAGAAGTATGAACACCTAGATCTGCTCAAGGAGCCCAAGCCTGCACTCCGTGCGCTGCAGGGTAAAGAGTAAATACCTATCTAAGTGGTCCCAAGGTTAATCACAACTTCTGACCAATAAATGGCTTATGTAGACCCAGGGGAAATTCCAAGATAAATAGGCTAAAAGAGGGGCTGGGGATTTAGCTCAGCGGCAAAGCGCCTGCCTGTCAAGCGCAAGGTCGTGAGTTCGGTTCCTGGTACCGGGAAAAAAAAAACCGAAAAAAAAAAAAAAAAAAAAAAAGATAAAAACAAGGAAAAGGGCTGAATATTCTGGAGAATTCAGTCAATTTCACAGAATTCATCCAGCCATAGCTATAAGTACACGAATGAATAAACAAACAAACAAGAAGCCAGGTGGGGAAGAGGGAGAATCAGTATCCAGAGTCACCACATATTTATCCAAAATATCCAGGTCAGCTGTTAAGAATAAATTTTTGAGAGATGAAAAGAAATGCAGGAAGAAAACAGCCAAGAAACCCAGCTTTTGAGGGGGCTGCAATGTTGAATGACTCCAAGTGACTGAGGTGAATGCGTTCAAAGAACCAAAAGAAACCGTGCTTAAGAAATTGAAGCATGAAGACAACTTGCTGACAGAATAGCAATAGAGGGATAGAAATTATTATTATTATTATTTTTGTTTGTTTGTTTGTTTGTTTTCCAGTACCAGGAATTAAACTCACGACCTTGCGCTTGCCAGGCAAGCGCTGTGCCGCTGAGCTAAATCCCCAGCCCCCGATAGATATTATTTTTTAAAAAAGATCATACTATATTTTACTACATTGTTCCATTTATATCGAATGCCCAGAACAGGCAAATTTATAAAAAGTTGATTGGTGGTTGCATAGGGCGGGAGATGGAAAAAAGAGGGATGGCTAATGGGTACTGATGTGGGTTTCTTTTTTGGAGATGAAAATGTTGTGAATTTTGATGGTGGTGGTTGTGGTGAACTTGTATTATAAATATAGTAAAAACCATTTAACTGTATCCTTTAGACTGGTGAATTTTATGGTATTGAAGTTATATCTTAATAAAGACACTTAAGAAAATTAAAACCAACCAACCAAATAAAAACAAGAACAAGTTAAGGCTGTTGAGAAAGAAGACCCGAAGGCCCAGCTCCCCAGGAGTTGGGGTCCCTGTGGATTTTGTCTCACTGGGCTGGCAGTCCGGCCTTCTCCAGGCTGATGCTCTGGATTCTAGGGTTGAGGACAGAGCCCTTGTGGCTGTGCCTGGAGTGGAAATTCCCTGAGCTTTGTGACCCTGAGGTCCTCCAGCAATAGGGGCGTGGTGCCCTGACTGTGACCTGGGATCTGTCAGCTGAAAGCTCTTGGCCAAGACCTCAACACACCAGGCCCAGGTTCTCTTGCAGTATGTGAGTAGCAGCAACAAGATCAAGAACTCCTCTTAGCGGCAGATGGGGCGGTGCTAGAGGCAGATGGGTGGCCAAAGGCCAGTGCACTGTCTTGCCAACCACTGTCCCACTCCACAAAGCCTCAGCTAACATTTGTCCTGAGCGTGGACTGCAGTCACCACAGGGCCACCAGTTTTCCTCAGGGCTGGGATTGTTTCCACAGCTGCTGTACAGGGAACAGGGGACAGGGGACAGGGGACACGGCATGGGTATGAGTGGTCAGAGAGGGGCCAAGAAGAGCTGGGTGTGCTCACTCGCTCACCGGGGGGGGATATTTTCTCAGGTGGTCCTATGACCCAGTGAGGATCCTTGTCTGTCCATGACATTTTGGGGGGAGCAGTAAAACTGTTTGAGAGCTTCACTTTGCCAACCTAGGTGCTACCAGCTTTGCTCTCTAATCCTGCATCCAGAGCAGACTCTGTGTTAACTGGTGATAGTCCTCATGAAGCCTAAATGTCATCTGGATCTGCCACGCATGGCCCCCCCACGCTACCCAGGGCCTGATGTTGGGCTTGCATGAGTGTTTATTACACAACTCTGAGCTCACATCTTCTGGTTTGCTTTTGGTGATCCAGGGATGGGGCTGCTGTGACACTCAAGGTCTGGCACCCCATGTCACAGGGGTCTGTGGTGGTCACATTCAGATAGGATCCATGTGTGTTGGGCAAGACTCCAACTACTTGGCCCATTTCCCACACCATCCACTCTCCTGATCAAGTCTGAGCACCCTCAGATTCTGCTCTCCTCTGCATGAGGGCTACAGGGGTTGCATCCATCAGCCACTGGCCCTTGGATGTGAAAGGAGGGTGGACGACTGCAAGAGAACCCAAGTGACAGACACCGCCCGCCTCCATGGGGCCTCTTTTCCATACTTTTGCAAGACAATGCATTGAGAAGCCCACAGCAGGGACAGGTATCCTTCTGCAGACTGTGAGCCTTATGATCTGAGGCTCACCAAGCCCTTCCTGCTGCTGCTTCGTGCTGACTGCGAGGATCAACAAGGTTGTTCTTCCTGCAGTGGCCTCAAGGACAAGGGCGTCTTTCAGAAGTGGACATCACACTGCAAGTCCTTTACTAGGAAATATCTGGTTCTGACTCCTTTCTTCCTGTTGGCTCACTTCCCTTCTGCAGCCCACGCGGCAGACCCAGCCTGCCCGCCACCCTTCGGTCCTCCTCCTCCCTCTCTGCCTTCTTCCCTGCTCACTGTGAACACCCCTGTGTGCGCTACCTGTCCACAGCTAGGCGTCCACATGGCAAGGCCACTTCTCATGCTGTGGCTGCCTCAGCTCTGCCCTGGTTCCTGCAGACACACAGCTAGTTCTGTAGGCTGTGCCTGGGCTCTTGTCTGCATAGGCTCTTAAGGAACTCAGGGCGAGGAAGCCCTCAGTGGTGCTTCTGGAGTGAGCAGCACCCACACCCCAGCTCTCCTGGCAGTGGACACAGAGCAGAATTATCCCCTGGTGGCTCTGTGACTCAAAATTCAGCTCCTAGCAGCTGTTCCAGCCCTGAAGTCTGCAGCCTTGGTCCCCACTGCAGCAATCTCAGTTGGAGCCCATGGCCACACTCTACACCCACCTAGGATCCAGTACCAGCTCTGGCTGCCACTGTGTTCCTAGGCTCTCAGAGGTGGGTTTGCAGGGGAGCTCTGGGCTGGGAGCAGGGCCAGCCTGGTGGCATCTGCCAGGTCGATGTCCTCTGTCCAGTACAGGCAGAGACAGTGACCCTGCAGCCAGTGTGGGCTGGGAGCCACCATCTCAGCACAGCAAGGATTTTCCCTTCCAAGGCCAGAAGGGAGAACCCTGTGCTTAGTGGTGCCTTCCAGGTTGTGTCCTCCCTGATAGCCCTGAGGGCCCAGAGGACTGGCCACCATGAGGTGTCTGGTCTCTCTGGAGAACCTGATTGTAAAGACGCCGTGCTTCTCTGCATGTCAGAAGCACTGGCCATGGACTGTTTCCCTTGCCGAGCCGCTCAGTACAGATCGAGAGCCTCAAGCGAGGACAGCAGGTGTGGGGCCTGGGGAGCCGGGATGATGGGCGCCGTGTCGGAGGTGGTTTCCTCTGGCTCGCTGTCCCCATCGTCCTGTGCCTCAGCGAGGGACGGGATGATCCTGACCACCTTGTCCTGGAAGTGCACCTGCTTTTTCCTGGCCAGGCCGTCCTCAGGCTGCAGTGGCACCTCGGTTGTGGTGTTGGGGTGGGGCACACTGCCAGTTCCCCCGGCCCCCCACAGGAGGCTCTTCATGCGGGTGAAGAGGGAGCTGGACGTCCCCGTGAGGGCCCCGTGGAAGGTGTAGGTCTGCTCTGTGTCCCCAGAGTCCATGGTGCTCACAGTGCTACCTGAGGGATCTTTGTACTGCTCAGGGGTGGCCAGCCCCGCAGCCCCGGTCTTGGTCTTCTTGCGCTTGCTTAGCAGGAAGTAGGCAAGGCCCGTGACAATGAGCATGGAGCCTGGTGACATCAGGACAAGGATGAGACATCATGGAGCCCTTCCGAAACCCCACCCCCAGGAGTCAGGTGTCAGCAGGCCCAGGTTAAGCAGGTCCCCTCCTGCCCTCCCCTCCCTCCTACCTGGGATGGTCACATGCCACACCAGTACCGGGTGGAGGAAGCAGGCCACCGACAGCAGCACATAGGCTACGAACTTCTGGAAGCAGCCCAGCCAGTGGGCCTTCTCTCTTGCCACGTGGGCCAGTGACCCTGGCTGGCACCTGGGAAGGAGGCAGGTTAGCAAGGCCTGGAGAGCCGGGCATCCTGCGTGGCCAGATTGCTGCAGTGGCCCTAGCTGAACACCTCACCAGCTGGCTCCACAGAAGCCTGGGGTCCTCCCAGTGGGCCCACAGTGGGGGCTTGCCTGGCCCCTCCAGAAAGACTGCTCACATTCTTTGTGCCCAAGGGCAAAGGGAGGTGAGTGGGAGGCACAGGGCCTCATGGGAAGTCAGCCGCGGAGGGGAGGCGTACATATGGGGGCCACCTAGCCCTCGGGGCCTGGGCAGGTAGGTTGCACCCAGTGGGTTTTGAGGGATTCCTTCCTCACAGGCACATGGGACCATGGATAGGTTCATGGCCAGCAGCACCAAGACCAGGCTGCTTTTGGGGAGGTGGTATGGTCCAGGGTCACCAAATCCTCTGCTGCAGCTCCCCACTGCCCCCTGCTGGCCATGTGTGAATATGTACGTGCCTGTGCCTGTGCCTGTGTGTGTGTGTGTGTGTGTGCGCGCGCGCGCACGTGTGCTGGCGAGTGTGTGTGTGGTGGCAAGGCGGCCAAATGCCCTTTCACACCACACCCACCGTTCGTTCCTGGCCTCTGGCAGCAGGTGCAGCCAGAGGGCACAGAGGTCCCTGCTGCTATTCTGGACATGGCCTGGGTGGTGGGCAGAGCAGCTGGGCTCAGGGCCTGACTCTCTCACTGACCATGTGGCACCTGCAGGTCCGGAACAAGCTCCTGATCATGCTGATGATGGCATCTGCCCCTTGGATGTTGGCTGGGCAGCAGTGGGGACTCAGCAGATGTTCATGGCTCCTGACCTGTCCCCGTACACATGCCCAGCCCTGCGCCCCAGGCTGGCCCTCCTGTGGGTCCTCACCCAGGGATGGCTGGACACTGGGCCTTTGGGACTCTTCCTGGGCAGAGAAGCTGACTCCCCTGGATTGGAGAGAGACCAGCCCTGAATGGACCTCTCGCTTTGTGTCTTGGCTGGGATCAGGGCGAGAGAGGCACTGAGCCCTTTCCCATCCACACTGGCCAGAGGCAGGATGTTCGCACCACGGCCCCACAGGCAGAAACTGCGGGGCCTGGGTGGGTGTTGATAGGCCACGTCTGAGGACACTTACTTAAAGCAGATGGCCAGCAGCTGCGCCACGAAGTAGGCCCCTTCGCACACGGCGATAGCAGTGCCTGTGAACCTGCAGTGAGGACAGGTGAGGGTAGCCCCTGCGTGGGTCTGTCTTCCGCCAGACCTTCCATCACCCAAACCACATCCGCAGATGCTGCCCAGTGCCAGAGCCTGGCAGGAAGAGGTGTCACCAGTAGCAGCATCAGTACTGCAGTCACCAGGGCCAATGTCTATGCCTGGCAGGACCACGTAGACCAACAAACCCTGCACTCCTCCCTCCATCCCATGTCCAGTCACCAGGAGTGTTGGCTGTGTCCCTCAAATCCCCAGAGTCACCCCATCCTCTCTGGCCCTCCCAACATTGCCTGAGCCCAGGCCAGCCTGGCCTTCTCCACCTCAGGCCCTGTCCCTGCTCCTCCCTGGTCACACCTGGCTGTTAGCTTCTGACACCGTGTCTAATCTTACACCTCCCGATCCAGAGTGCCTGTACTCCAGAGACCCTGGAGTCAGACCTCCTGCACATGTGTGAAATCACAAATTCCAGCATCCCCTCCCTGGATTTTAGATACCAGTACCTTTGGAAATGTTGCTTAAGTGTTTTTTTTGGAGGGCTTCACTGGCCCATAAAACCAAAATCTCTCAGCATCCTTCCAAGTTGTTCACAGACTTCCATATTCCCTGAATGTGTAGGGAGTTATCAGGTGCCTCAGGGCCTTTGCCCAAGCTCATCCTTCTCAGAAGTCCTCCCCTTCCTCATTTGTCTGTCTGGTGATGTGTTGTTTCTCTGTGATAAATCATGTGACCAAAGCTACCCTCTGTGAACTGCAGGAGAGCCCTGGCCAAGCGCCAGCCCTGGGTAGGTGCTCTGGGAATGCGCCATGGATGAATGAATGAGTGAGGGGTAATGCTTGCTGCAGGGGAAGACAGCTCAAGGACATGGGTGCTGCTTGGTTCTGATCAGCTCTGTGACCGTAAGTGGGAGGCTTGAACCTCCTGTGGCTTGCTTTCCCCTCTATAAACTGAGGTAATTACAGTGCTTCAACTCTGTAAGTTGTGAGTTGATGTTTATAAGGTTCCTGGGATTGTTCTTGGCATATGATAATCACTACATAAATGTCAGTGAGTCCTGCTCCCTACTGCCTTTCACCATGGGGTTGTTAATCTATGCCCTTTCCCCTCTCATGCCTCCCCTAGTGTCTACCCAGCTCTTAACTTTCAGTCTTAAAATGATAATAACTAACACTTCTAGCTTGATTGCTATGTGCCAAGTACAGTTCCGAAAGTTTAAGAACACTGACTCCCTTGGTCCAGGCAGCCCTTTTCTGATCAACACTCGTTCAGTTTACAGATGAGGGTACTGAGGCATAGAGAGCTCCAGCCCCCTGCTACGGTCACATGGCTGGGCAGGAGCAGGAGCAAGACTTGGACTCAGCACTTAGATGCCAGAACCATGTGGCTAAGAAGTACGTTAAGGCCTATGCTTTGCAAAGGAGGAGGCAGAGCCCTATTCTGCCTCCTGGGGCAGAGAGGAGGTTGAAGCTGGGGAACCAAATGTCTTGGGCAGATTTCCTGTCTGGTCCTAGCAGAGTGTGACCTGTGGGGTTGAAGTGCAGGGCATGGAGGGTCAGGCTCAGGAGCAGAGGGTCTGATCCTCTCAAGACACGTGGAGCAGTTAGGGAGAGACAGGGCCAGGTGGGTGGCATCTGCTTTAATGCCAGGGCCCCACAGACCCCAGCCTAGATGCCGGGGTAGAAGGTGTGGATGGCAACAGAGCAAGAAAAAGCCGCCTGGGGCAGCAGGGACTTCAGGCTGGCCCAGGGCAGGATTCTGGGTTGTGGGGGTAAGGAGTTGGCCTCGGCAGCCCACACCCAGCCAAGGCACTTGTGTTCTGTAGCTTGGTGGTAGGTGATATGGATGTTCAAGGGTGTAATCAAGTAGTGGGAAATACGGTGTGGACTGAGGTGGAGGGAGATATTGAGGTCTTCAGAAAGACCCATGCGTGGAGGTGCAGTGTGAACAGAGCAAAGAGGTTGGCCTCTGGGCCCAAGGGCAGCAGGGGTGCTGCAAAGAGTGAAGCTACTCAGGACCCAGCAGCCCCTGCAGTACAGCAGTCACACGGATAGGGGAGTGGAAGGCACAGCCCAAGACCCCACAGGCCACTGCAGCTCTCAGCTTGGAGCCCTTGGGCATCTGAGGGGCTGGAAGGAGTAGCTTCCTTCACCACCAGGAGGAGGCAGCCAGGAGGCCCTTGGTACGGGGACCCCAGGTCTGACCCTGGACAACACTGTGCCCTGGTCTCCTTCTTGTCAGGGGCAGCTTGTGGCAGAGGAGAAAGGACAGGGCTGTGGAACCTGGGCCTGCTGCTTGGAGCCTGCTGGTGTGGGTCTCTGCCTACTCCCTCTGAATTTCTTCCTTTGCACAAGCAGGCCAGAGTGCCCCTCTCCTAAGGACTGGGGGCCATCAGAGTTAAATGAGGTGATGCAAATATGACACTGAGTTATACTTGGCATGCAGAAGTGCTCATAGATACAATTCATGACCCCACCCCACCTTTCAAATGGAGCTCTGCTCAGGTTTCCTAAATAAGGAGATGATTAAAGGGATGCATGGGTGGGTAGGTAGAAAGATGGACAGGTAGGTGGATGGATGGGTGGAAGAGTGGATGGGTGGGTAGGTAGATAAGTGGATGAATGAGTGGATGGATGGATGGGTAGATGGGCGGGTGAATGAAAGGATGAATGAATGGATAGGTAGATGGATGGGTGGATTGATGTGTGAGTGAATGATTGAGTGGATGGAGGTATAGTTGATTGATTTAAGGGGTAGTCTGTCTATACTTTAAGGGATAGTCTGTCTAGGCTATCCTAGAAGCCTCCTGGACTGCCCCCACTCTGGGCTGGGGTCAGTTCTCCTGGGTCAGTGCACATGGACAGGTGTGGGGTGAGTGGGCAGCCCTGCAGCAGGGAGGGCTGGTTGTATGTACTCACAGCAGATAGAAGGCCAGGCTTTTGAACTGCCCCTGGAGGAGGGTTTCAGTGCCCACGCTGATCAACACTGAGGGGTGAGAGGAGAGGCAGAGTTGTCTGCGTGCCCGCACAATGGCACTGCCCTGCAGAGACCCTTGGCTGTGGGGAGCCATTTCCCTGGGGTGAGATTGGTCATTTCTTCTCCATGGCACCAGAAGCTGGAGCTTGGAAGGCATAGGAGAGCCCCAGGGGCCATCCCTCCTGTCTCCACAGAGTAGCTTGATGGTGCCAATGTCCCTGGGTACCCCCTGCTTTTGACAGGCAGCTGTCCTCCTGCACAGGTTATCCTTCCAAGACCCCCAGTGTCCTGTGCTCTGTGGCTGGGACTCAGTGTGTGGCCAGGGCAGACCTGTGCCATCCATCCCTCCCTGTGCTGGCTGCCAGTATAGCCTCAATGTCTCCAGTGGACCAGGCAGTTCCATCTCACACCCATTCATGGCTCTGGGCCTGGTATTGACCACACCATCATCTCCTCTCCCCACCCCTCCCTTCCTGCACTGGTGCATGCACTGGAACCCTGACCCCTCCTCGCCGCTCCTCACGGGGACCTCAGCCAGCACAGCTTTGACTTATCCAGCTGGGGTTGAGGATGCCACAGGGACAGTCTGTGGCCCTTGTGCAGACTTCTCTGACCCATGTGGTCACACCTGTGTTTCTCTCTGGTGACACTGCTGTGCATATGCCCAGCCAACCTTGCCCCAGAGAGAGCCAGTGTCCCCTCATCCATGCTGCTTCCCTGAGTCCTGGCGCTTCCTTTGACCACAGGGACACCTTGTGAGCTCCCAACTCATGTCCCACGTAGAAGGGAACCCTCATTCTCTGCTGAGATGCCACCCCTATAAGCAGGGAGAAGGCATTTATACCCCATTGTCACTTCTCGGTGCTCTTTGGGAGAGGAGAGCCAAGACCCTTGATGTAGGCAGGGATGGGGCAGCAGTGCTGTCTGATTGCTGGACACAGGACTTGGGTTCCCTCCTGTGTCACAGGATTAGTGTGCCAGGCACCACGCACTCCACCCCAGGTCCTGCTCTGCTGCTGGTGCTGGGCAGGGCTGTGACAGTGACTATCTTCCACCCACCAGCATGTTGGCCTTCTCACTGACAAGTGTCTCAGAGCACACAGACACAGATGCACACACACACACACATGCACACACACACACACACACACACACACACACATGCACACACAGACCACCCAAGCCCCTGGTCTTCCCATGTCACAGAGGGGCACAGTAAGGCTCACGACCTTCACCATTACTTAGGCTGGGAACAGAGCATGCAGAACCCAGTCCAGGGTTTTCGGGTTCTTGGAGATGGGCCCTATGTCTACCACCCACTAGTGTGATGAGTGTGAGCATTTGCGAGTGTGTGTGTGCTGTGCATCAAATGCTGCTTACCCAGCACTCATCATGCGCCCTGCCCTGTTGCAGTACTGGCATTTATTAATGCATCTGGTCGTTGCACCAGTCACCCCCATTTTAGAGCAGAGGAAACTGAGACACAGACAGTATCAGCAAACCAGCCAGCCAGCCGTGGAGGCCTAGGTCAGAGGTTGTATTTCATTCTCACATTTTCCAATAGCTGAGTTGCTCTGTCTTCCCAGGACTCAGTTTCCCCAGTGTACCTCTGGCACAGAACAGCTATGAGGATTTGGTGAGCACCACACAGGTGTGCAGTGAAGTCGCTTGTTAGTTTTTGGTAAGAAGGGGAAACCCTGCTTGCAGGAGCACTCCCCACCCTGGGACGGGGCCCGGGCTTCAGGAAGGGCCTCTCACTCAGGGCCAAGGGCGGAGCTCGTGCCTTCTCTGGGTGGGCAGTGCCCATGGTCTTGGTCGAGCTGTGTGGGCTGGGACAGGTGACAGGAAGTTCTTAGAGCCCAGCCCTTCTCTTGCTGGGCACTGTGGTGTGTGGAGAGCTGTCCTGGTGGGCAGTCACAGGAACCACAGGTGCCTGGGTCTGGGAGCTCCCTGGCTGAGCCAGTTGCTGCCTGTCCCTGAGGAGCCACTATACACCTGAACTGCAGAGGCCCTCCATGTGCATCCTGTTCAATCTGCACATCCCTGGGCAGGAACAGGCAGCCCTGTATTCATGAAACCCAACAGGTCCCCGGATGCAGCACCTGCCCAGGAACGTGGGGGTGCAGGGAAGGGATAAGCCAGAGTCTGGGAGTGAGTGACAGTGGTGGCCACTGGTCCCTGGCCCCCAGCAGAGGTCAGAGAATGACAGAGATGAGGATGGTGTGGGCTGCGAGGTCTATCCTGGGACCTTACAAGCACTGGAGGGGAACCTGAAGAGGAAACCCCAAGTTGGTCCCGACAGTGGAGCCCTGCATCCCTCAAGCCCATCTGTGGAAGGGTTTCCAGTCTGCATCAGCCCAAGGCAAGAAGCCACCCCTTAATGCTTCCTTGACCCTGGCATCTATGGCCCTCCTGATTGTCAGCCTGAAGTTGGGGGCTGCTGGGGCTGCAACCTCGAAGGATTGGAGGTTCCCTTCATGCCAGGGGTGGGGAAAGCACAGGGCTGCCCAGGAGGTGCCCATCTGAGCCTGGAAAGATAGTCCAGATCCACAATCAGAGAGATGCCAAGGGTGGGAGCAGCGTCAGTGCTTGGGACGGACCCACATCCTTTGCCATGTGACCACGCGATGGACCCATATACTTTGCACTAAGGCAAAGCTGTTTCCTGTTCCCTGTATCTGGGCTTCACAGTAAGACTTGCTTTAGACCTCGGGGTGCCACCAGGCATGATGCAAACAGACGTTCAACAGCTCCAGAGCCACCACCTTGAGCACACGCCAGGGCTAGCCTGCTGGAGCATGAGGTGCTCACAGAGCAGGGCCACCCTTCCACCCCAGCCAGCGCCAGGCTGGAGAGGCTGTCTGACCCTCCCAGGCAGAGACACACAGTCCACCTACCGCAGCTGTGAGCTCTGCTTGTTCCCCTGACGTGGGAACAGCAAAGTTATGGCCTGTAAGACATGGGGGTCTGGCAGTGGTTACACAGCACAGACGACATCCCATTTAGGACGGTTTCATTGAGGTGCACTTAACCTGTACACACTGCACTTATATAAAGAACAATTTGATAAGCACTGATGTTTGTCCATATCCATACAGCCACCACTGACATCAGGAGAGTGAGCCTCCCCGCAAATTTCCTGCTATGGTGTTATTGTAACCCTCCATCCCAGCCTTCTGTGTTGCTAGAGATGAGTCTGTATTTTCCACCAGTCTAAATCAATGGAGTTAAGAGTATGTACAGCACTCATCTTGGGTTGTCTTCTTCCTCCAGCACAATTATTTCAGATTCATGCATGCCATAGCATGTGTCTGAAGGTCACAACTCTCTCTCGCTGAGTGGTACTCCACGGGAGGATAGGCCTGTTTGCTTCCAACTCACCTACATGTGGGCACGTGGGTTGCTACTATAAATGAGTTGGTGATGGTTACTTGTATTGCTCTTTGCAGGGCCTCATGCTTCCTTTGCCCTTGGGTAGCTGCTTTTCAGTGGAACAGCTGGATCCTATGGCAGGTGTATGTTTACCTTTTGAGAAGCTGTCCAAGCTTTTCCAATGCAATCACACCATTGTGCATTCCCACAAGTACTGCATGAGAGAGTTTCATACCCTTGTCCACACGAAAACCCTTGGTTTGGAGGCAGCCTGTTCATACCAGCCCCTCTAGTACATATGTAACAGCACTTCGTGGGGGTCTGGGTTGCATTTTCCTAATGGCTAATGATGGGAACATATTTCCACATACTTATCTGCCATCTTATCTCTTCTTCGTTGGATTTACTTTTCACTGTCTTAACATAATTAAGAGAAAAGTCTTAAATTGTGATGGTATCCAGTGTATCCTTTCTTTTGTAGATTGAACTTTGTGTCTAAGAAATCCCCAAGTAACCCATCACTGAATTTCATCCTATTATCTAGGACTTTTGTAGTTTCAGGTGTTACATGTAGGTCTGTGATCCATTTTGATCTTTTTTTGGGGTATATGGTGCAAAGTATACATAGAAGTTCACTGGGAAATGAATATCCAATGTTCCACCATCATTGGTTTTCAAAAGTTACACTTACCACACTGAACTGCCTCTGTGCTTTTGTCAAATTCTGTTATTTACAAATATCTAGGGTTATTTCTGGGCTCGCTTCTTTCTCATTGATCTGTTTGTCTTTCTTTGCATTAATACTGTACCCACCTTGGTTTTGTTGCTTTAAAATAAGACTTAAAATCAGGTCAGTATTAATCCTCTAGCAGTTTTTTTTAATAGTTGTTTTTGCTATATTAGATCTTTTACATTTCCATGTGAATTTTAGAAACAGCAGTCAATTCAGTCTCAAGCCTCCTGAGATTTTGATTGGGACTGCATTAAAGCTTTTAACAATATTAAGTCTTCCGCTCCATGGAAAAAATATATTTTCTGCATTTATTTATAATTTAGATCTTTTTTGCTTTATGATTTCTCAGCAATGCCTCTTGTTTTCTAGTATATAGGTTTTTAAAAATATCTCTTGTCACATTTATCTGTTTCATATTTTTGATGTAACTATGAATTGTACTTAAATATTTTCATTTTCTATCTTTTGCTGGTATGTGGAGATGCAACTGAATGTTGTACAAACATTCCTCATTTAACAACCTACCTGTTTAATGACAGTTCACACTTCCAACTGAAGAGCTCTGCTCAGACTTAGCACTCACCAGTTGGACTTAAGATCTGTCTTTTTTTTTGTATAGTTCTTACATCTTGTTTATTGAGCCTCAGTGTCTTTTTTGTGCAGTACACCTTGTTTATTATACATGCTGATTTGCTGATTTACTGTACCATACAGTACAGTTTACTGCAGGTTTATGTTCTATTATACACTAGAGTACTGCACGTAAGTTATGCAAATAAAAGTAAAGTCATCAAGTTGGAGTTTCCTTTGACCATTTCTTTGCTCTGAATCTTGTAATGTACATACTATATACAATGCCTCATTAGCAATCAATTCACTTAATAACAGCTTTGGTAATGCAACT